ACAACAAAATGAGCCATTCATTTTGAATGAATGAGAACAGCACTTCCTTGGCAGAGTGACACCCACCAGCCAAAGTACTGATACCTGTGCAGGACTTCAGTACAAGTGTACTGCACCTCATCAGCACTCAACTGCCTTCCCTACCAGGACCTTGCAAACAGCTTGTCTAGTCTGCTTGCAACTGTTTTGTGTGTTTATCTGTTTTTAGGATGAGGAGGGGTTCCTAGTAAACTCCTTGCTACTCTCCTGTCTTACAATGTTAGCATTCTCAGGGGCCAGGTGACACAATGCTGTGATATAAAACCAAATGTCTGACTCCCTCTGAAATGAAAGAGAAAAAAGGGTCACTGACTCCATCAACTAGAAATGTCTATTGAATACCTTCTATGGGACAAATATGTGCCTCATGACGAGAAACATATAAGATCCCTGTACACTTGAGTTTGTAGCTTGAGCTCTCCCCACATATCAACAAACTCAAAACAATAAGCACATACATGTTTGGGCAAGATTTTCACAACTTGGAAAGGCAGTGGGATGGGATGGGATGGGATGGGAGATAAAGGGCTTCAGTTACCTAGGAAACTCCAAGGGCCTGGAGTACTTTTCATGTGTGAAAGATGATAAATCATGGGGCCCATGTGTTGATGTCCTGACCCAGGGCTTGAACCCTCCTCCATGCTGTCAGGAGGAGTATAGTGCCTTGTCACAGGGTTTCTGAGATACTTAAAATGACCCATGTGAGGCACTTCATATAAAGATTTGATTCCAGGAAGCCTATGCTAGCCTTTTTGTTTTCTTTGGTGGTGGTACTGGGGATGTCACCCAGGGGCCCTCTACCACTGAGCCACCTTCCTAGCCCTTTATTATTTATTTTGAGACAGAGTCTCACTAACTTGCCTAAAGCAGCCTTGAACTAGTGATCCTCCTACCTTAGCCTCCCAGGAAACTGGTATTACATGTGTGTACCACTGCTCATGGCTCAGATGTCAGCTTTTATTGTTGCTGTCACTAGGCAGCCATGTAACAGTTGATTTCTAATGCAGACAGGACAAACCCAGTCCCTGGACTCCATTGAGTTGATTGCTGTGTTTCATTTGCCCTAAGATATATGTACATATAGGTGCACACACGCACACATGCACACACACACACAATTTCTTTTGGACAGGGTCTCACAAAGCAGTTCAGTTAGAGTATGATTTCCTATGTCATTCTAGCTGGTCTCAAATTCTTAATTCCCTGCCCCAGCCTCCTGAGGGCTGGGATTACAGATGTGTGCCACCACAGCTAGCACTGACATATATTTTGTTAAAAATTCTGACTTAGTTGCCAACACAAATATCGAGATCAGCATTCCAGAACCATAGGGAACCTAGGCTCGTCTGTAAGGGATAACAATCAGCAGAAGCCATTGGAAAGAACATGAGCTCTCTGGCTTGCCACAGTCCCCAACATTCCCTAGTGCTCTCTACCCCTCAGTTGGGGACTCCTCCTTCTGAGCACTGTGTTTCAGTCACTTGCATTCTGCGCCTCTCTGGTTTTCTTGGTGGCCTCCTGTGATCCATCGGCAAACCCTGGCTGGTGCCTTTCTTAGCTCATGTGGCTGCTGGTCACCCACATGTAACTGCTTGATATGGCCCTGCCCTTCACAGTGTGCCCTCAGCACATAGTTTCCAAGGTCTTGAAGGTACAAGGTTCTATGCTGTCCCTCCGGTTGGTCCCCTGCCAGGGCCAAGAGCAGGACAGGTGCTCAGGCTAAAAGTGATGTCTGATACTCATCACTTCCTAATCCTTCTTGTACCCCTTGGGAAGGAAAAGTTATTTAAGGTGGTTTTATGGTCTGGACCTTAAATGTCCCATAAAAGTCCATGTGTCGAAGGCTTCATCAAGAAGCCCTGGCACTAAGGTGAGGCTTAGAACCCTTTAGCAGGTGCAGCCTGATGGCAGGCAGTTGGGTTGTGTGGGTGCCCTTGAATGGGATATGGGGATCTTGGCCTTCCCTGCTGTCTCTGTTTCCTGGCTTGCAGGAAAGGGAACAGCTTCCTGTGCCACATGTGTCAGTCAGCTATGAAATACCCAGTTTGGGTGCTGAGCACAACAATATATCCTCAGAGCTGGGCCCCATAGCCAGCTTTCACAGGAAGAGGCTCACTCAAAACTATCAAGTGTTGAGCATCATTGGCGAGGTTGGCTTTAGTAAGGTCTTACTTGTTGAAGATCATGCTGCTGCCACATCAGCAGCCATAAAGGTGTTAGAGAAGGAGAAACTGGAATCTGCCTTCACTCTTACTGAGGTAGAGCTCTTAAAGGAGCTACAGCACCCCAAAGTCATCCAACTTCCGGAGGTCTTTGAAATCCATAAACTATACCTTATAAAAGAACATGACAGTGCAGGAGACCTGAGGCAACATGTCTGGAAGGCCACCGAAGTGCTGACAGAGGCGGTGGCCCAGAGATTATTTCTCCAGCTCACAGGTGTCATGCAACATTCTCATGGCCAGGGTTTTGTCCACAGAGACTTCAATCAAACCTGACAACATCTTACTGGACTACTAAGGTAATACCAAGATCACTGACTTTGGGTTGGGGAAGAAGTTTGTTCCCAGGCAGAACGTGACCTTGTGTGGCTGCACAGTAAGGTTTGCTGCCCCTGAAGGATTCTATTTGAGTTAGCTGTGGATCACACCTCTAAGAGAAGGCCAGGCTTCTGGTGCAGCAGATCAGGGTGGGCAGGTACTCCTGTCCTATCTTCTGACTTACAGATTTGTAATTTGAAAACTTCTCCCCCACAACCTCTCAATGCCACCAACACTAAAGTAGGTCTTGTGGCACTCGTGGCTCCCCTTGGATGTACCTTCTCCTAATCTTCCTCTTGAGCTACTCCCCAAGCAAGCACAGGAAGACTGCAATCCTGGCATCATGACTAGGACTGACCCACTAAAAGTCATCAAATCATAGAAACCCTGAGGCTCAGAAAGTTTGACCATCAGAAGGCCAATGTTTTTGCTCCCGAACACCAGGCTCACAAGGGGGTTAAGCTTAAAACCCAGGGTAAAGCCTTCAAATGAGGAGGTGGTGTCCTCATCCTCCCAAGATCCTGCACTCTCTCAGCTCTCATAGGGAGAAGGGCCAGAGAGCCTGCTGTTGCACTGAACCCTTCTTCCCTGGGATGAAGCCCCTAGGGCAGCAGGTTGCCAGACAATCCCAACCTCCCATTCCCATCTGCAAGACCCTCGTCCCTGCATAGACTGCCTAGCTCTGAAGCATCCTGGTCCACTCCTACACTACTTCATCACCTGCCTGAAATGGAAGGCAGTCTGGAAGGCAGTGAAGAAGATAACTGGAGCCTGACTGCTGGCCCTGTGCTGGTCCTGCCTGCCAGCCTGGAAGAGACCCCGGGGTCACTCAAACAAGGTGGCATCAATTAGGTAGTGGACAGCAGAGACCCAGATGACCCAGCCAGGTAGGAGAGGTGGGTGGATTATCCAGTGGTGCTTCCTGTGTGTTTTCTGTGTCTTGATGATGGCATTCCTGATGACAGCATTTTCAACCGCCAAGTCATAACTTTAGGGAGGGGAGGGAGAGTCTCTGGTCAAAGGGAATAGTTTCAGATGGACACTAAGACCACAGCCAAACAATGTCTGTTATGTTATAAGTGTCCATTTCCCATTTTTCCCCTTGTACTTTCAGTGGAGATCCATGACAAACCACCCAGTCACAGATGGGTGTGGACTCCTGGTAAGGGAGGACTGGCCAGGCGTGCTTAACAGGCATTATGAGGGAGCCAGATAGCACACCCAAGCTGTGGTGTGCTGGACTCACCTGATCTAGCTGCCTCTGTCCGGCACAGAGAAGACAAGTCCAAAGTGCCACAGGCTTCTCTGACACTTGGAGCCACCTGGTGCCCACAAGGGCCTGGGACACTTCCCTCTGCCCCATCCTTGGTCCCTCTGTCTGCCAGGAGGAGGAAGCCGCAGTGTGTCACCTTGCAGCCCTTTGTCTAGTGGAGCTGGAGGAGAAAGGAGAAGGAAGGTTGGTTCTGCATCCCGAGGGAGGAGAGGTGGGTGTGCAGCCTCCGGAAGGTGGGACTCAAGAGCTGGGATCCAGCTGAAAGACGGAGGAGGGAAAGGCGATTTAACTAACTTGTATTCCACTGTCCAAACTGCATGGCTCTGGCCAAGGTCCGACTGCAGAACCCTCATCACCGAGCTCATCAACACAGGTGTTGTCAGACCCCAGCTTCTTGCCAAATGGTGGCTGGAGACTGCAGCTCTTCACCATATGGGTGTCTCCCTTTGGGCCTCCTGATGTGACTGCTCCCCTCTCAGGGACAGAGGGAATGAATGGTATGCTGCTTGGCTGGGCAGAGAACCTGCTGTATAATCTACAAGCTTCAACCTGAGGAAACACCAGAAAGGCTCCCACTTTTTCTTGATTTCTTCCAGAGGAACCAACCACAGTCGGGGACAACCCTTCGCGTCTGTCCTGACAGCACCATCCGAGGCTGGACAAGACCTGGGCCCGAAACGACTCGTGGCTCAGAAGCCCGAGTTCAAATGCTGGCTCTGTTGGTACTGGGTCATCCCGGCGGGTTTCATTTAATCTCTCTGCGCCTCACTTCCTCGGTTGTCAATGTCTGCTCGCTCCTCATCCCCGGCACCGGGCGGCCAGGGCGACCCTGGTCACCATGGTGCCCGACGCCGAGCCTTCTGCGCTGCGGCCTGTGCGCTGCCCCGAGCCGCTGCCCGGGCTCCTCGCCTCTGTAACTGAGCTGCTCCACAGAGTCACTTCCGGGCATCACTTCCGAGGAGAGGCTGGAAACAGGCCCTCTTCTCGGCTCTTGCTCCGGCCCAGAGCGCCAGAGGAAGCGGCAGCAGGCAGTGACGCCACACCTGAGACCTCGCCACCAACGTGGGCTCCTCTGCTAACGGACGGACGTCAAAGGACGGATGCGTAAAGGACGGACGCTCAACGGACGCAGAGGACGGCAGCGCATGCGCAAATTGGGGCGCGAGGTGGGCGTTGAACGTCCATTTGTGTCACAGTCGGTGACCCCAACTCAGTCACCTTCTCCAGGATTTAGAAAGACGGCCTTGAGATAAACGAAAAAGATGACTTCTGGAGCCGTGTTTCTATGAGGGAATTATACTCTCCATGGCCTGTGTGAATCACAGGAAACAAAACAGAGCCAAGAAAATAGTAAGTAGAGAAAAGTCGACCCTAGAGTATCTCTGCATGGCTTTATAACACTATGGGTCTGACTTTCAAAAATCATTTTGCGGCAAAAATTTGCTTTCTGTTTTATTCCTCTTTTGAAGCCTACAACCAAATCAAATACATTTTTTTTTCTTTTCTTTTCTATATTTTTTAATTTATTGAGACAGGGTTTCACTATGTAGTCTAGGCTGGGCTCAGAAATCACGGTGATCCTACTGCCCCAGCCGCTCGAATGCTGCGATTACAGGTGTGCTCCTCCACGCCTGGCTTGTTAGTTTTTGAGATGGGGTCTCACTATGTATTTTAAACTTGCGGTATACCTCAGGCTGGCTTTGACTCGTGGCGTTCTTTCCTCAGCCTCCCGGAGTGCTGGGGCTTACACACATTCAACATCATGGCTGGCTCAGAATACCTTTTAACAAGGCATTTTATATTCTTCCTGTAACCAAACCACACAAATTAAAAAGAGAATTAGAAGAAAATAATTTTGTTTAGACTAACGTTTAACGTAAACTTTAATGGTTGCCAGGCTTTTCAGAATTTTGGGACTAGGTATGAATAACAGATCTAAAAATTGCCTACTCAGACACAACCTAGTTTCTTTACTTCCAGAGCTCTGAATACACAAGTATTCTAAGTGAATTCAGTATATACAATGTATA